GCCCTTGCCGCTAGGCCTAAAATATTCTAATATATTCTATTATATTCTAGGACGTTAGCTGTTGTGATTAGAGTACATTAAAATATATTATGGCATATTATTATAGCATGTTATAGTATGTTATAGTACATTCTGGTATATTATCGCTGGGGGGTTCTCATGGTCAGGATTTTAAACTTTCGATTACGAAAGGGACCCGGGCTTGCGAAATTGGAGTACTTTGAGAAACAGGTGGGGTTTGAAGGTGTACCTTTGTTTTTGCTGCGCCTCGCGTACGGTTTTGGGGCCTGGGTTTGGGGATTAGGGTTCGGGGTGTCCTCTAGCGCACTTGAGAAACTTCCAAAATCGAAATGAGGGAGGAAGAATGCAAAGCCCATTGTGTACAGAAGTTGCGGCAGCGGGAGCAGAAATGGAACAGGTGCTGCAACAGCAACTTATGTAGTAGAGCCTCAATTAAGGTGGGCACTAGCAACGGAAATGCTAATTTCAAAATAATAGCCGTGGAGAGAAGGGTAGCATTGTCCTCCTCTTCTTCAATCTTACCCTTCTTGCTTGACCATGGGCCAAACTCTTCGAACTCGGGCTCCTGGAGAGAGCGGCATGTTACAAAGCTGTAGTTCATCATCCGGCATGGCCGCCTGCAAAGGATGTCTCCTTAATATAGAGACATGAAAAAATCAACTTTGAAACACCCTCAGTGGCTGCTCTCCTTGTGCTGCTGCGGCGGAGGCGCCATTGCATCCTCAGCGCAATCTTGGCTGTTTCTTCTAGGTAGCAAGCCTGAATCTTTGTCTGTCAGAGGCACGCTTTGGCGCGTCTGCTACACAGCCAGACCGCACCGCCTCTCGTTTTGCTTTATTCCCGACCGTTCCGGATCAACAGAAATGCTACGCTAGCTGTGCTGTTTCTCCGCACGTCAATCCTGGCCCCTGGCCACAAACTTTCACGATCGTTTACACCCCTCCCAGCACAACAAAATGGGTGCGCAGCCTGCATGGTGCAGTCCATGGCTTTCTCCTTCACGGGAGATGGGCAGACTGTGTTCAAAGAATCACAGCAGGTCTGCTACACTGCTACACTGACCCTGCGAGGAAGCTTGCCACTGAATTGACTTGATGAAAGACCCACGACGTGAGCCAAACTGCGTACTCTGAGTACAACGACTCGCCAAGCTTGAGGGGCTAGCCCGCTGGGCCTTGGTTAGCTAGGAATGAAGGAATGGATCCTTATATAACCCATTACAGTAGTGCCCATTTCCGCTTCCATTCCTTCATCCCCAGCTAACCAAAGGCCTGCCCATAAGTCACAGTTAGCAGTCCTTCTTCCAGCAAACGGCGGAAGTTGGTGCAGAGGGGCAAGGCCTCTGCACCATACGGAGCTGTTCAAATCTGCTGCGGGTACGGTTTCCCAAAATTAGGGGTACCTTTCAAATAGGATATAGGGGATTTATATAGGGCCATATATAGAGGGTGGATGTCTGCAACTACTGCTGGACAAACAGTGACACAGCGTTCACCTGGGCTCCCTGCGACCCATCAGGGCAGCAAAGCGTTGCAGAGCAGTGCAGATCCCTTGCAGCTGGCGCATCCAATGGTCTGGGACTAGCGGTCCAAGGCATCCAACATCTTTCGGCATACCAAAGACCCACGTCAGCAAGACAGCCCGCGGCCACATATTACTGTTTCCTTTTTGGGGGTTACCTATCAGGAGTATAGCATATCGAGGTCCATTTTGGGCTCCCCTTGTTTTGTGAAATTACCAAATGAACTTCAGCAAATGTCTGCGGCGAAGGAGTTGGAAGAGTCTGAGAGCAGAGCGAGTTGGGGCAGGGCACGAGCTCGCCAACCTATGGTTTAGGGTTTTAGGATTTTAGGGTTTGGGGTTTGAGGTTTAGGGTTGTTTCGCAACAAGTCCGCCGACCTTGGGGGGCGTGTTGGATGGTTTCAGTAGATGGAAAGGGTGCAATCCCCCCTCTTTTCTTCCTTACCGCGGAGGGGCGGCCGGCTGCTCGGCTGAAGCCCCCAGGCCCTTGGGCCCCAAGCCCCTGAAGCCCGGGCCCAAGCCCCTAGGGCCAACCGTCGACAATCGGGCTTGCCAGGGTAATCCCGGCAACTTGGCTTGTTGCGGATCTCCTGCAGCCACTGAAAACAGCAAAGCTGCCTAGTCTCGGCAGCCTAGCTTGAACTAATCTTGTAGGCAGAGGAGGTCCAAAGGCCTGGGTGTCAGGCTGGGAGCTGCCAAGCATGCTAATCAGGGCCAGCCAAAGCTAGGCTCATGAATGCCTAGACAAACGGAATGCATTGTTGGTCCTGACACGGTCCCGGCAACCTGGCTTGTTGCGCCGANNTTCCTGCGCAACCACTGAAAACAGCCAGGCTGCCCACTCCCAGCAGCCTAGCTTGAACTAATCTTGTTGCGCCGATTGGTTCCGTGCCAGCTGCTGAAAACCCCCCAAGGTTTAGGGTTTACGCTTTCGCGATTTCTCTGCCTCTGGGTCGGCGGACTGGGCCGGAGGCTCTTAAGTCTGGCCTGGCCGTCGTGGTCCAGTGCGGATGCACGCGCTGTGCGTATAGGGGGTTTTGGACGTGTTTTTGAAGCTTCCCCCCATGCTACGGAGGGTTTGGGGCATGTTTCTTTAGGCCAGCATCATCAGCACAATTGGGCCTTCGTTTCTCACTTTTTGCCACCTCAACAAACCTAGAGTTTTGGAGGGGTCTTGAAGCCTCATATGTGTGGTGTCAAGAAGGAAAGTGGGGGCCCAAACAGGCCCCATGATGCTCATGATGTTGGCTCCTGGCGGGGCTACAGGGCGCTTAAGATGCACTATAAACCTCAACAAAACGCTGAAAATACACGCTGTGGGCAGAGTTTGTGGCTGTAAATACTGGTGGGATCTAAGCATGAGACAGGTTTGGCGTGCATTGCCCAGGCCAAACAGCATAAAATGTGCATGTTGCAAAATGTGCATGTTGCATGGTTTTTGGATGTGTTTTGCCCGGTCCCAATCAAGCCAAAATGGGGTCCCAATTGTGTAGCTCATGCTCCTGTACCAGGCGCGCGCGCGCGCGCCTTGCACAAGAACATCATCAGCACAATTGGGACCCCATTTTGGACCGCTTTGACTTCAAAACCTAACAAACATCCCAGGTAACAAGAACAATACTTTTTCGCGCACTTCTCCCAACCCAGAGTGTCAGCAGGGCTGGGGTGGGCTTGGCTTTCACTTGATAGCTGGGTGGGCAAGGGGCAGCGGCCAGGCCGGCAAAATCCAATGCCTGAAACTCCAACACCTCAGCCCTATGCTTGCCTAGGGTCCTAGAGTCCTGGTCATGGGGGTGTAAGGGGATGTGTAGCCACCTTCGACCCTAAGCCCTAAACCCTAAATAGTAGTTTCCATGTTCTTTTCCATTATCCCTATATAGCCCTAATACAACCCCAACATATACCCTATACTTACCCTATATGACCCATTATAATAGTTTCCATAGTCTTTTCCATCATCCCTCTATTACCAAACCCTACAGCCTCCCTTGAAAATCAGCCAACCTTGCAGACGTCCGGCAGCTTTACCAACTTCGGACTTGCAGGATGGAGGCCTGTCATCTTCATCAATCATAGTACTTTCCATATCCCAGTATACTCTAGTATACTATGGCTGTATAATAGTATGTTATAGTATACTGTGGGGCTGTGTACTATAATTATTTATGGGCGTGGATGGGTTTTAATATTGGGGGAGCGATTAGAAGGCATTACTCCTGCTTAGAAGGAGTAAGCTATGCAGGAGCATCCCTGGAAGGTGCCTTACGGAACACTTAGCGCACTGCTTTCCTAGGTGCCACATGTGCCACTCCTGGCCACTGCCCGAGCCAACTCTGAAATCACAAAACAAGCTGGGCCAGGCAAGAGATGATCATGAGACAGTTGGAGTTTTCTAGCTTTTGGATGAAGTTGCTGATCTGTCTCCATGATCCCAGGAGTTGACCATGACCATGTCATGACTATATGGCACACAAAGCTCAGGTTTGTTGCAGCAAGGAGCCGTGAAACGGACTTGAGAACCTCCGACATGCGAAAGAAACACATGCGCTTGGCCTGTGCAGTCGTGCACTTTTGGCTTCTGACACCTTAGCTTTTCAACCGAATTGCCAGGATATATGGTGGTAGCGCAGCCATGTCAGAAACTCCAACAGAATTCAGCATGCCCTGCGACGCTTCTTTGAGTCCTACGGGCGACACCATGCTCTTGACTGTGCAGCTGGGATTACCCCGAGGCTCCCAGATTAAGATCGAGCAGACAAGCGTGAAAGAATCCTCTGTTTTATGACGAATGCCCGGACCACCCTAGTGACAGCCATGGAGCTTCGCGCCAGAGAGAGGCGCAGAAGGGCAAAGCCTTGGCATGCAAAGATCAAGAGACGTCATCGTGACAACAAGAAGGAGCGCTGAAGCCATCCTCATCCCTGAAACAGTAGCAGTAACAAGAAAACGAAGCAGAATAGCAAATAGTAGCAATACATGTCCCTCAGAGTGGAGGACGGATGGATTTGTCCAGGACTTGCTCAATTCAGGATAATTTTGCCCGGTGAGGGCAGCGTGGGGATGCTCACCCCAAAGCAGCAGCATGCCATTGCAAGCGACCTTTTACCACAGGAAGTAGACGCTTATATAGCTCTAATATGGGTAAGTCTCACAAACTCCTGCCCCCCTCACCCCTGCGATCCTTGGCGCCTGACGAGCCATCAGGACAGCACTGGCTGTCTTGGCAAAAATCCCTTGGCTTCCAGCTCATAGCAAGTTTCTCCATTACGCAGCATAGCATGGGTCATGTTTTCAAAGCTGGCAACACCAGATCACGGTTAATATAACCCTATAAAACCCTATATAACCCTATACCCCTTTAAAACCCTATAAAACCCTATAACCCCTAAAACCACTAAAGCTGAGACCCGTCACACTTTCTCTTCCAATGCCAAGCAGCTCCGAGTCTGGACAGCGGACAGCACTGCCCGGACGACAGTGGCCCTCGCAAGTGGCGTGCTTGCGGCTAGAATACAACAGCGAGTCCCGCAAAAGCGACATTCATCAGAAACACAGCTGAGTCCAAAGAGCGCTGACTTCTGCAACATATAAGCCGTCATAGTCACAGGTGCATCTATGCGACCTGCCACATCACATTTTCAAGGGCGGCAGGTCGCTGCAGTCCTGATGTCCATCCTTTGTCTTTTTCTCTTCTGCCTCATCCTGAGCAAGGTTCATGCCTATTTGCAACCTGCTTTGTTTGGACTCAGTGAAGGAACCACTCTGGCTTCAGTAGTGTGAAGACCTGTTAGATTGCAGGCCTTGCGCGCACTAACCACGGAATACAGGCGTGATAGTAGGACTGTTTGGGCACCCGAGAGCTGGCATAAACATTGTCATGACCCGGGCAAGAGAGAGACAGAGAGAGGGGAGCATCAATGTCGCGCTGCTGTTGTTGCAGTGGCAGTACCAGGCGCAGTAGCAGTAGCATTCGCAGGCAGTAGCAGTGGCAGTAGCAGCGGCAGTAGCAGCGGCAGTAGCAGCGGCAGTAGCAGCGGCAGTAGCAGTGGCAGTAGCAGCAGCAGCAGCAGCAGCAGCAGCAGCAGTAGCAGTAGCAGTAGCAGCCTAAACCCTAGACCCTAAACCCTAGTAGTAGTAGTAGTAGTAGTAGTGGTAGTAGTAGTAGTAGGAGGCTCCGGTTACGTTCGTGACGGTACATTTTTGTGGCATTGCAAGCCCCGAAATGCTGTAAATAGCTGTGGGTTTTAGATGGTGTCAGTTGACTTCCGATTTTTCTGGGGCTTTTCTTGTTTAACATGTTCTCGTTCCACTTGCTTAGTATTGTTGGTCTGAATTGTTTGTGCGTTTTATAGTGCGTTCGGGCTTATTTTGGGCCCTTTTGAGGAAAAACACGTTTTTTCAAGTAGGCTTTCCAGATGCTGCTTCTCATTCCTAATCGACCCATTTGTCCAGGCTACGCCCCATTAGTCCAGGGGTGCGAGGAGTTCTGATTGTTTTTTATCATCGCCCCATTAGTCCAGGGTACGCCCCATCAGTCCAATGGTTGGAGTTCTGATTTCATTTTTATCTAAGGGAGTGTTTCATCCCTGACTCTGACTGGAGACATTTCAGCTTCCGCACGTCGAAGAGGTGGACTTTATTCAAAAATCGCGCGGAACCTAAGTTTCAGCAGGGTGAAATGGAGAAAATCACGCCGTCATAAACGCGACCGTTACCTAGTAGTAGTAGTAGTAGTAGTAGTAGTAGTAGTAGAAAAAAAAAAGAAACGAAGTCACCCAACACTTGGGGCATGGCCGGATTGGGTCCATCTGTTCCCCTGGCAGGGCAGTCACAATCCAATTGCTACATGTCTACATAACCGAGCATCCACACACGCTGTCGAGGTTCCTTCCTATCAATTCAGCGCCGCCCAAGTGTTGCAATGAAAGATGCCAGGTTCTCGTGAACCAAGAGTTTTGCGCCCGATTCATAAAGACAAGCTGGGGGCAGCACCTGCAAGCCACCTTCTTGGGGTGTTCACAGATCTTGCTGGAATAGTATGAAGCCGACGGACACAACCTGGATGCAGTGCCAGCCATTTAGATATGAGCTTTGCTCAATCTCCTGATATGCGTAGTTCCCCTGGCCCGATCACACACGGCTGATCCTTGAAGCATTGACCTGGACCAGGTACCCATTGAATCCTGTGCCAGTACAGGTGCGTACGATTTCCAGCCTAACAGTATGGATCGCCAAATGCTTACCATGCAACCCTGCAAACCCAAGCGCCGCAAGATTTTGCCCGAAGCCTTTGAAGCCTTCCTGAAACACCTTTACAGACAGCGTCCTATGCTGAGCCCCCATGGGCTCCCTGCTGAAGAGCTCTCAAGACCCTCACCCTCCACTGGGTTGCTGTTAAGGAACTTGAATTCAGTTACCAAATATGGGCATATAGAAAATAATAGTTCCTCATTATAGCAACTTATTTTAAGTCCCTTAACAACAATCCAGTCCAAAAAGAGCCTCCTCCAAGGAGCCTGCTCATCTCTTTGCGCTGGGGTCCCTGCGATCCGTCTGGGCAGCATTCGTCCCCCATGCAATATGAGTTCCTGAGGCATCGCATGGAAAAATCCTTAAAACACTTTGCTGAAAGGTGCCCATCATGATTGCCGAAAGCAGGCATATGAAATCAATGACGCCGTTTTTCGTGATCTCCCGACAGAAACAAGCTCTCCCTGTCCGATTGCCGAACAAGGCAGCAATCATGGCCTGAACACAACCCTTCTCGAATCTTCTCAACCGGCAGCTCCAGACTCGGTGTTCGGATCTGACATGCGCCTTGTGCATAACTGCACCTGCTTTGGGTGCGGAGGTCTGCGTGAGCTGGACATAGCTTCAGCATGTGAGGACAGCTCCATCTTTCTGGAGGGCGTCAGGAAACTGGCCGAAACTGCACAGGATGGACTACGACGACTTCTCCCCATGGAGGCTTGCGAGGCGATTGTTGAACGAGGTAGCCAAGCAGATGAGGGTGGTGCCGGTCCCCAAGAAGGACCTCATGCCAACTGCAGCAGCCCGCTGTTGGAAAGTAACATCCGAAATGTGCCAGATCGGATGACATGTCCACATACAACCACTTAAACCTATCGCAAGAACCGCAAGGTTTTGCCAAGTCACATGAAGATGATCAATAGGAAGAAGGGCATGTTGCCACTGCAGCACGTCCTGGGCTCCAGTGCTTGCATAGCATGGGGTAGTTTGTGAAATTAGCGTACCCGTAGGACCCCAAAGCTATATGTGGATTATACAGAAATTATTGCGGTCTTTATTACTTCTAGTCTATACAAAGGCTTCCGTATGTTCCTCAAGAGACACGCAACCCTGTGAAACAATTCAAGTGCGAGGTTCCCGGCGATGCAGCGCCCAAAGACGCCACAGTGGTGGTCGAAGTAGCGGACGCAGCGATTGCAGGTCCTGGTTGACGCAGACTTCTGAAGACAAGGAGACCAGAGGTGCACCCAGACAACTACAATTGCCAAGACTAGGGATACTGGAAAAGAAAATGGAAACTGCTAGGTGGATAATGGAAAATAAAATGGAAACTACTATAATGGGTAGGGGCCTGCCAAATACCACGGAAAATATATGAAGAGGTCCCGATAGACCATCACAACTTTGACGCTCCCCCGTCGTGTAACAGCCCTATTGCCAAGGCTGTGCCTGCAGTGATGACAGCTCCCCTCCTTGCCTCAGAAACAACCAACACATTCAGGTTTTTTTTCGGAGATTCGGAGATGTGATGTGATGTGGCCAGAAATGTTAGTTTCAAAACGAGGAAAGAAGGCATCCCATAGTGACGCAAAAGCAAGCACTGAGTCTAGGGATAGAGCTCGAAAGGACCTGTGAATGCGGACCAGAAGCAGCCTGGCAGCTGGCGTAAACAACGCTGTAACGTCGGCGACAGTTTAGCAACCTGAGTACTTTCTTTTGAAGGGCACTTTCTCTTGCTGCGAAAAAGGAAAGGGGGAGAGCAGATGGCTAAATACGGTAGCTTTAGTAATTCCATCTCCAACCAGGTGAGACTGAATGTCAACCCAACCGGAGCAAGCAGACCCTCTGTGCCTTAATTGATGGCAGAGTAGCCCGCGAAGACAAGAAAGGTGCCTGCCGCTTGGGCCGCCAGACCAGGCAGCGGACGCAGAATGAACGATCGCCGTCCTCCACATTCCTGGGGTCCAAGCCACGAATGCACACAAGCCTGTGCTTGAAGAGGCCAACTTCAAGCTAAGCTTCTCCAGATTCTCCAAGGACTCACCTCGTCGTATCTTTTCGGCCACCTTTGTCCAGGGAGAACACTAAGGCTTCGCAAAATGATCTCGAATCCGACCTCAAGTCACTATAATCTGCAAACTCTCCAACAGGCTACGTTCGTGCGCTTCGTGGATGAAAGGGTAAAGTGTCTTCACGTCCCTCACAAATACCCTGCAATCCCGATAAGTAACCCTAAACCCCACAAAGTGGTTCTTTTCCATTATCGCTACATAGCCCCAATATACTCCCTTATTCCCTACCATCTACCCTATTATAATGTAGTAGCATCTCCACAACAGGGCCAACAGGATGCTGGCATCATGCCTCTGCGGGCAGAGGAAAGCAGTTGTCCTCTGTCCTGGGGATCACCTCAGAGCTATTCAAAGAGCAAGCAAACAGTCATGACGCGGTAGTGCATATCCAACAAACAGCACCAAACCACCACCTGGGGATTAGCAATGCTCAAGCTGGCATTAGAAATTAATCTGCCCTCCGGATCCAGGCTTTTTTGAGTACAACACACCCAGCAAGAAGGGTTTCTTAAGAACAAAACCTTTTTGTCTTGAAGTCTTAGACATGTATCTCTACCTAAAAAAGATCCGTAGTGCCACAAGAAACATGTAGCTGAACCCAGGTCTTGCTTGACTTGCTCTCAGGTCATAAAATGATCGTCCTAGTAGCCCCAGGATCACCGAACAGGATGAAGAGCAGGCAGATAAGGGCGACCACTGCCTGACCCCAGCTGCTAGATGATCTGATTGGGTACTCCCGGACTTGCACATCGAATTTGGGCCGGCGGCCTATCGATTTCCACATTTTGGTTTTGGAGTCCCACCTATCGTTTTTGCTGAGCGGCCTATCGTTTTCCAGCGAAGATGCTGCTTTCAGATCCTCCTGTCGCCGCCAATATAGCCCTAAACTGCTTCAAAAAAGACAATGTTGCATGTTGGTATTGTGATTTTTCTTGGAGGGCAGAGCATTTCCAGAGCCACCGCCATACAACAAAGCTCCCATGACAAAAAGCAGGCCTCCATATAGATCGCAGCCAGAAACATGGACCTGCAGATGGCGGAAAGGCTAAATACAGCCCAGGCTGCATGATCCTCTCTATGATTCTCTCACTGCATGGCATTGTTAGGCAGCAAAAGCTGCCAGGTATGGTCAGCCGAAAACCAGGAATTGCTTCCACATGTCGTCGATACTAGTGCTGCAACATCATCTCCTACCTGACGCGGACATTGAGTAAACGTGAATACGCGAGGCTGACAGATGCTTCTTGGCTGCGAGTGAGAAACTGAGGAAGCCCTCCCATCAGCCTTTGCTCTGCGGTCAACATCTGGCCCAGAAGACGAGGTAGGATAGTCAGCGCCAGTCCGTGGGTTGCACCTCGAGAAGGTTAGCGAGCAATGTGTCCATTGCATCACGACGCACCCAAATTGTCTGCGACGTGGACGTGTACTTATAGCGGCCCTGCCTACAAGACACAAGATCTGAAAGCTCACATAGACGGTTCCACCCGCAGACTGCCTCGGATAACGCCACTCGGAGCGAATCAACAACGAAGCACGGTTGGCTATGCCAACCACAAAGCCCTAGCTGCTCCTGTCATCGCGGGCTCCTACAGCTATCTGCCACAACATGGTTGCAGCTCAGCTGCAGCAGCATCTCGCATTTCTTTGGCGCAGGCAGCGGGGGCAAATCCTGCTTGCATCCTTACTTGTTTTGCGGCAGATGAGAATGCCTCAGGGCCAGCTGGAGAGTCCCATTACAATCATGAGGGGTGGTTGCAACGACCACACCGAGCTTGGAGAACTTCTAGCAAACTCTTGTGTGCATATTCCCTCTGATTGCTATGTCCAAAGTCGGACAACAAGATCCCTTGGTCCACGTTCCAGATTCTCTTGATTCTCCAGATATCACCTGCCATGTCTTATCTTTGCTTGCTGCGGGTGGCCAGTGTTGCAATGGAACGAGTCTAGCTGCCCGAAAATGAGCTGGAAACAAGAGACTGCTACTAGGTTCTAAAACCTAAGCACGCACGCATCCCCAAGAAACCATCATTCCAGCAAAACGGCGGGCTATCCAACTATCTGGTAGTTTCTATAAATAGGGGACCCCAATATAGACCCTAAAATTCTTTTACCCTCATTATGAGTACCCCCAAAAAAGGGCCCCTCAATTTGCAGAAAACTCCATAGTCTATTCTCTGAGGATCTCCCCTAGTATCCCCTATAGTAGTCCCCCATATAATCCACTATATAGCCTCGTTCAAGGAGTTTAGACCCTAAACCCTAAATTGTAGTTTCCATTTTCTTTTCCATTATCCCTATATGATCCCCTAATAACCCCTATATATCCCCCTTTAAGGCGTTTAGACTATAGCTCATCTATTCCCAGTCCTCCAGGCGCCAGCGAGATGCCAGGTTCTCCAGGCTCCCATCTTCCACGTCCACCTTTTCCGGGTTGCTGTTAAGGAACTTAAATTAAGTTGCCATAATGGGTTTAGGGTTTAGGGTTACCATAATGGGTATATATAGTAAATAATAGGGTTTCCACAATGGGTGGATATATATATATATATATGTGTGTGTGTGTATATGCTATAGTAATTAATATGGTTCCTCAAAATCGTAGCTTAAATTAAGCTCTGTACATCCCTATATTCCACCAGTTTCCATTTCATGTTCCATGTTATCTTCCATGTGATTTTCCCACTAGACCCGAACCCCTAAACCCTAAACCCTATATTATGGCGCAATATAGTAATTAATTTGGTTCCCCTATTGTAGTAACTTGAAATAAGTTCCTTGACAACAACCCAGTTTTGCAGCTTCAGGCTCCCCCCATATGGGTCCCTATGATTACGGTTACAAAAATATAGGGTTTAGGGACTAGAGTTGTTTAGGCTTTAGGGATGAAGGTGTAGGGTTTAGGGAGTAGGGTTTAGGGATTAGGAATATTATCCCAATAATGGAGCAGCAAATGAAAAGGAAATGGAAATGAAATGGAACTGGCATTGCACACTACCAAGTGATGAGTCGTAAGAATCGTTGACATAAAAGGCTGGCAGACAAAGGAACTCTATACCCTAAACCCTATGGAACCCATATTGGAACCCGTGTATCAACCATCAATGTCTCCTCCTCTGCGCATTGCGGATAGCTGTCCCATTTAGGGTTTAGGGTTCACGGTCAAGGGTTTCGTATGGGGACCTGAACAATAACTATGGGATCAACCCATGTAAACCAAGTTTCCATGTCATTGTGCACTCTCTTTTCCATGTGCTTCTCCATTGTCTGATCCCTAAACCCTAAACTTTCAACCCTAAATACTATATCCTAGATCCTAAAACCCTGAACCCTCATGAGCTCAAAGGCTGGAATTCCACGCCTGGCAGCCGTAGACGGTCCGCACAGGAGCAGGCATCGTCTTTGCAGTAGTCATCCAAACAGCGCGTTGTCGCACGAAATATCCATCAAGATAAGACTTCGGACTAGAGACAGATGGCCATTGCACGGGGGAATCTCATCTGATATTAACTGCACCAAAACCGGTTTTCGGACTGGAGACAGTTCGCCATTACAAGGGGATTCTCATCTTTGGGAAGTACTTCATCGTTGCTAGTGCTACTTGGTGCAGCTGGAGCTTCGAAAGGTTCCAACCTCAGTAACAGCAGGAAGGGCTGGGCTAGCTTCGAAGTGAAGGGAAATTATTGGCACTTGGTACGGTCCCTTAGACATTTTCGTGCTTGCCTTGAACGTCCTTTCCATGGCTAATTTGAAGAAGAAGAGATGGCTGCAAGCGACACATGCCATAGTAAGTGCAGGCTGCAGGCAAAGCAGATCAAAACATCCGGCCTAAACCCCCGAGCTTCCTACGGGATGTTTGGGTCGCATTGGACACTCATCCCTGCGAGGCAGAGGTTGTTCATGCGAACCTAGGCAAACAGCTGCAAAGCAAGGGCTTGCTGCACAGTCCTACCTCATACAACGCTGCCGGAGTTTCGTGCTTACTATTCTTGATTGAAACCTTTCACGGGTGTTCAAGCTGGCTGGGCCTGGGGGTAAGGAGAAGCGGGCCCAAGATCCCATGATACTGCCACCCAGGCTCCCAGGTCTGCTTGTCTGCACACTCAACCACTGCAATAGCTGTAGTGAACAACACTACGATGATTGCTCGTTTCATTTCCTTCGTTTCTATTCTTCCAAACGCGCTACAGCCAGCACCTTGCAATCTTAGCGCGTCACGCCATGCCGCCCAAATTTCTTCAACTTGGCCGCAGGAGAGCAGTTCTCAAGGCTAGCACCGCAGGATACCACAGGCTGGGGTGAATATTTGTCTTGAGAAACCCTGTGAGAGGCTGGATAGGCTTAGAATTCGGCACGCATGGAGTGAGCCGTGTCATTTAGATGCTGTCTCTCATCAGCAAGCTGCAAGTTGCGAATCCTTGGGATCCCACAGGCGCCGCGGGATCAAACTGTGGCAGAACCTTATCAGGACTACAATCTCTCTGCATCTCTGCCTGTCACAAAACATGCCCTTGCATAAGAAAGGCTGCTACAACCACAACCACCGTCGCCGCTGCTACGGCTAGCAATAATCGGACTGGCAGAACTAAAGAAGGGCCCCTGAAAAGGGACTGCTTTGTCTTAAGAGCCCTTGGAGCAGAAGCCTCGCAAAGAAGAATGCTCGATCTGCTAGAGGATTCACATAGACAGCTTCATAAACAGAACTATCATGATTACTCTACACGTTTCTGGTACGGTCTTTTTCATTATTACGTTTTGCTGCCAGGGCACTGGTTTCGGCGTGGTCACGACCTGCGCAGTCATCCGAGCTAGAAGTATCCCAGGAATTTCGAGCACGTCATACTGGCTGCGCGATCCCATCTAGAACCCAAGTAGTCCCAAAAGAGCCTCCTCAAGGGGAAGAATACACAGTCAGGCTGGACCAACCAAGAGTTCCACGAGCTGCAACTGAGACAACAGGTCAGCAAGACTGATCATCGCGAGCCCCTACATCTCTTACTATGCTGTGAACGTCTCCGCTATTGCTGCCAAGTCCTCTTCCCGCCTCTCTCTTTGCGATGCGCTGCCAAGGCATCACGTCTAGGTCCTGGGCCAGCGAGCAAGGCAAGGGGCCGCAGCAGGCGCAGTGAACCGACGTCATCCGGAGCCAGCTAGAGTACTACATTCGATGGTGGTACTTGAGAATAATGATGGCAGCAAAGTTTTGGGAAAGCTGCAGAGCTTTCGCAATTGCCCATGTAGAGGTGTAGAAGTGGCAACAATTGCGCGTCATGAACCCTTCTGCCGCGATTCTCTGCGCCGAATTGCGAATCATCCACTGCCCCCTCTTCGAATCCATAAGTAAAGAAGCGGCTGCTGTTAGGCGCCCAGCACTTAAATTCAAAGCTGTGGCTGGGTTTCATATTCCAGAAAAACTGTGAAGCTCTAAAGCTTTACATGCATATAAACTATACAACCTGGGCGCATTATGGTCATGTCTTCTGCAAAGAGGTTAGGAAGCAATCAGCATTGTGAGCATACCTGTTGCGCAAGTCCCCGATAAGATACTAGTTACTAGTAAAGCAATAGGCAGAGGGGAGCTTACGGGTTGTGAGTGGGGAATATGCGAATATACTATGCAGGGATCATAATCCCAATATTTCCTACTAACAACCAGTAAGGACAAGAAACACACAAAAGCCAGACAATCACCAAGCCCCACACATGGGCGCCGGGTCGTGTAGCCAGCCATGCCCTGGTTTCCGGATGCCAGGTGTTTAGGGTTTAAGTCAGGGCATCCATAATAGGCTCTTCTATACAAGGATACCATTTTACTTGCAATCTCTGCATCGCATATGATCCTGTTGCTGTTGTTAGCATCTTGGCTTCAGATCCCAAGGCTTCTCAAGTCTCTCACGTTAAGTTTGAGGGCGGATAGAGATGGCTGGGACAAGTCCCTCGCAAGGCATGTACGAGCAACACGTACCTGCTCACCATTGCCTATTACCAAGTAGCTTTTCAAACACAAATTGAGGCTAAAAGCCAGACTTTCTGCCTACCCCTCCATTCCACGCTGAGACCGGAGGCTAGAAAAAAGCTGCAAACCAAGTTGGAACTGCCTGGGAAGAATGCCCACAGGCCCACAGCAGGCACTCCAATGTCGCATACAACGTTGATGGCAGAGTTGCTTGACGCCTTGATTTCTAGTCGGAACACCTCGAGCTTTGCTTTAGCCAGGTGTCCTGGAATTACAGCAGCGGCACTCTTTGTGGAATGCCTGTTAAAGAAAGTGATCCCGCCAGCGGTCGACGCAAGTGCGTGTGATAAAACAGGTGTGTTCGAAATAAAATATCGAGGGTGCCAGCAGCTGGTCCGAGAATGTGCTTCATTCTCTGCTTGCTTTGCAACAATCTAGTTTTTGAAGTTGTTCGTGTGGGCTGCAGGCCCAGTATTTTCCCATTGCTCAAGTCCCCACACTGCAGCTTCAGTGTCGGATGAGAGCGCACTGTACTTCATGTCCTTGCAGGCGAGTAGCAATGAGTTCGTCAGGGAGTTGCCACCAGCGGCAGCATTCCTGCATGCTGCTTAGCTCTGAGAGGTGCGAAGCCAAAATCCTTTGTAGGCAAAATACCTTGCAGCCTTGCATGGCCATGTAACACAAGCGTGTGCATGCTTTGGGGTCCTTATGCTGAAAGTCTCATCATCGAGCCTGGCGACACAGGGCTGATTCGATGTTACTCTGGTGCTATCGCAACTAATTGGTTGATTGATTGATTGATTGATTGGTTGATTGATTGGTTGATTGATTGGTTGATTGCGCGCCTATGGATCACGAAACACGACTATTGGTGCTGCAAATAGAGCTGCTTGCGGGCCTGCGCAGACAGTCAAAAGCGTCACTGACGTTCACCACTGCCTCTCAAGCAAGGATGACTGGGGTAAGTCTATATCGGAAGAGAGGATGCAACCAGCTGCAGCAACCGTAAGCGGCCTCAGCTGACGAACTTGCTACGCCAAATGACCACTTTTTGTTGAGCTTGTAGAGGCTCATCGGCTGCTCGCTTGAGCTCTGGACTCAAGTTGTAGGATATTCCCTACGAGGTCCCCCCTATAATCCCTATACATGGCCGTGCTCCTTAAATCAGTGCGCATATATTAAGAAATTAACTCAATTACTGTCCCCGGGACAGAACCACACGAGGGCCCACGAGGACCCTCGGCACCTGCTGCATGCAGACGAGCCAGGACCAACCCAGCTTTTTGCAGCTGGGATCACTGTCGCACGAATCCTGCAGCCGCGACACATTGGGGGCGGTCCAGAAAAACAAGGGCCTGCTGTGGGGCACGGTAAAGCCTTGGCCTTCGCATACTGTTCACAAAGCTAAAACAATTTTCTACCCTTCCCGTGGCCTTGTAGGCAAGGAAGTGTTGCATAACCCACTCCTGACGAAACACGGTCAGCTGCACTTGCATCAAGGTCCAAGGTCCTCACATCCGGCTCTTGAAAGGCAAGCTTCCTAGGTTTCCTCAGCCATCTCGGCTATCTAGTGACCTCTTGGTCTCTCTCCAAATGAAGATTCTCCCCGGTGGCCCGCCAGAAGGGGATAGGTATCAAGGAAGGCACGAATCTTGACTAGCTCTCAATTGCATTAACCTGTTTCATCAAACGAAGCACATCCTGGCTGTCCTTGACTAACTTGTCAAAACCTTAACCTATTTACACGTGTGGCTGACATCAAGAGGGCAATCTGAATCTGCAACAATGCTAGGTGAAGACCATGCCTGCTCCAAGAATTCTTCCAGGGCCTGGGGAGAAACAAGAGCAGGAATCCAAACCGGTTTACCTGCCTAGATTCTAAGTGGCAGGCTGGGACGACGGGCAGCATCCTTGGCAGAGCCAGCACAGGCGAGCTTCATTCTTAAGTCTTTCTGGCAAACGCTTCCGAGAGCCACATAAATCTACCCCATCCACGAGAATCTGTCCTGCATGTTCCCGTTCTCTTTCCCCTTGAAGGCAATTTCAAGATGCAGAATCAAAGCTTGAGGACCCCTATGGGGTTTCCAAAAATTCGGGGTCCAGCGTTGGGGGTCCTTAGATAAGAAAGGGCTTCAAGGTTTTAGGGGGTAATATACGGCAATCCCTGTTTCGGGAAACCCCCCATCTTCAAGAATCTGCCTAAAACGCCAAGCATCTGTATGCCTTCGACAGCCCAGCCTGGCTTTGTTTGACAGCTCAGCCGACAGGTGAAGGACTGGATCTGGATCCTTTTCGTCCCCACATAACCTCCAATTGTAGTCAGCGCCCGTACAACTCATAGTCCTGGTCCCCTACGGAGCCAGACCCTTGCTTGACGTCATTCAAGCAACTGCAAACATTTGACGAACAAGTGAATGAGCAGGCTGCCTTTTCCCCCGAACCAGGTCTGGTGGAGGCAGACATGCTCCCACATGATGCCCACCTGGGCAAGTGGCAGACCACCGGACTGCAGGATCCAGCAAAAATGCCACTGCTTGGCTGGTCCAGTGCCTGGGGCCTATGGTTCTTCCCCTCAATCGGCTCCGCACCCATCTACACCCAAGTGCCCGTGGTTGGAGATACGCTCCCAGCAAGCATGTAGTGATAACATTCGCATATTCATATTATCATATAATGCTCATATACATGTATATTCATATACTTTTTTGTGTTGGGTGTCTTGCAGCGTTCATAGTGCTCCACGGCCCGCACCGTGGCGTGCGCGAAGTTTGGGTAAAGCTGGCCTCCAGGACGGACGTGCCTTCGGCTTGCAATGAGGCTCACACCAACGGATACAACCTGCATTATTGTATATTATGGTACATGATGGTATATTATAGCATTTAAAAGTATGTTAAAGTATATTATGGCATGTTCTGGTATATTATAAGGAACCTGGAGACATTTCCTCATGACACAAGTTGCAGCAATTTGAAAAAAAAGGTGCATATCATCAACGCACTGCATCTCAGAGTAATGACACATGCATGCAGTTGTTGCGTGAAGTCAGGTAGATGATGTAGATGACAAGCTTCAATGATGCACGAAAAACTTCTTCCACGATGGCAAGAGTCGCAAAACAGCGTTGCTGCTGAACTTGCAGATCGAGGTGCCAGTACATGTCTCCCGCATGGACCTGACAGCTACGGCTGAGCAATCAGCTACTTAAACTACTTAAAAGAACTCAGCTTTGCAAAGCCAACTGATAAAAACTATCACGGATAGCCAGCAAGAGAGGGCCTCCATGGCCATTAGGAGGCGGCCAAGCTGTCGAAGCTGGACGCCCATCTCGGATGCAAATCAAATGGTGAAGACAACAGCTCACACATTCTTTGCACTAGTCGGGGCTAGACATTTGGGACCTTCAGCTGAAAAAACTCTTGAATGGCTTACATCCTTGCTGGCGGCAGAAGCTGTCACGCCAAGCTCCGCGAAAAGCAAAATGGAGCGAGAAACGGCCATGAGACCTTCGAGCTAACATTCGGAACTTTCCATAGGCACCTCGTCACCGGTGTTTGCCAGAACGGTGCCGTAGACAGCTAGGGCATAGTAGCCTCTGGGCAAGCACTGCGGCTGGCTTTGGTGTGCTGCCGCTTCCAGCAACATGGCGGGCTGCGTTTGCTAAGCCAGGGGCTGTTGATTGCCTCGCTGACGCTCTCCTGATTCCTGGAAGAAGCCCGCACCCCCTGGGGGTCCCTTGTTAGATTCGAGTTGCCTGTGCATGCTCTGAACATCCGAGCCTGCCCAGCGGCTCAAACTTAATGCCACCGGCCCAAGAGAAGCCCAGGAACCAGTCCTCCGTCACCCAGCATGTGGGCTTTAATTGGGAAAAGTGTCAGGTGCAAGAGGTATGTGTCAAAATGAAGGGGCCTGCACACACTCCGAAGCATTAGAGTCCTGTGCATCGCACAGGAACCAGGATTTTGACCCAACCCTCGGAATGAAGTTAAATACATACACATCTACATGTCGGCTGAAATATCAGGCTGTGAGTATACTGCTGCTCTTGAGTAGCTGCGGTGTCCTTGTGCCGCACCACCGGGAACATCTTGTCCGCGGAGGACGGGTTCGCGTAGTCCCTGGCGCCGGATAACTTCACAAGGCCATTTGTAGAATTCACGCTCTGGGATTCGGCACCGCAAATAGACGACCTAAGTTGCTGAAATCCCCAAGGCCATTCTAACCCGAAGAAAACGCTGATAACCAGTAGCTGTTCTGTACAGTATCAGAAGTGTGACTGCGTAGTAGTCCTGTCACGATCTTCCCATAAGTTCACATAAGTCGAAGAAATCCGTGTAATCACGTGCTTTTTCAAAAATCAAATTTCCCTGCATACCTCAAACGTAATACAAGCCGCCCATCCTCTTTTGACCACCAAAAAATGCCCCTGATTGAAAGCAGCCACAATCCTTACAGCTTCAGAATATGCCTACGCAAGCACCACTCTTCTCTTTTACGCAACCTTTATACAGATTTAGATCTACAATCAGCTCTCAAGGGGTGCTTATGAAGGTTGACAAAAGGCCCACTTCGGGCCTGATCAAAGCCATCAGAGGCTCCCTCCACTTTTTCTCCCATTCGGGCCGGAACTTTGCCAGCACCTGGGTCAGCTCCAGTGTCTAGGATGTAGCAGCTCAGGGTTATAGTCCCCTTTAAGTAGATAGAATCTGGCTTTGGGGTATATTATTAGAAAAATCCCCATATACCCCATATCCTATCTACTTAAGGGGGACTATAGGAGTTTTGGGCAGAAGGGTTTTAGAGTTTGGGGCTCGGTCGCTGAGAGGCTCTTTTGATGCCTAGCAGCTGTGCTCGGGGGTCGCATCCTTTGAAATAAACGGTCCGGAGATCAGTCCAATCAACGGCCGTCATGCATTCAAACAATAATATATATACATATATACATATGAGTAGAAACAATAAAAATGGTTAGTACTGCTATAGCTCTAGCAATAACAGTCGTAATAATACGAATGATCATAGTAATCTTTCAAGTTCTGACAAAACAGAATATGAAACATGAAGGCACATGGGGCCTTCCAAACCAGCAGGCCAAAGGTCTGAGGGTACTTGGTTCAGCTTGCTTCTTCGAGATTTTCTCTGAGCAAGGGTCATATTGCTCCCTGTGGTAGTATGGCCTCTCATTGTTAGTCTTCATAGATATATATATATATAGATGAGATATAGATATATGTTTCTGGATACCATCGCCTTGGATACCATCGTCTGCATACAACGATTTCGAAAGATGTCAAGTTTCCAAGCAAGTCCAAGCAAGGAAAAGGTTGACATGAGAGACCGGCTGCAGGCCCCATCTACACGTCTATTTCCTGCCGGGGATCCGCCGCGGAATAAATCCAGTAGCCATAATGGAAGTGATGGTCATTGTAGAAGCCGTTTCCGAAGTTGTAGCCTGCACATGCGCCAGCACTGGTTCCACGCAAGGATTCCCTCTAGCAGCCAAAAAGGCAGATTTAGGGTCCTTTTACACCTCCTGATCCCTCCTGAGCGATGAGCGAGCAAAGTCACAAACCCTCACATCAGGAGCAGAAAGTAGAGTGCAGCAGCGGCAGCAGCGGTGACGCCTACATTGTGAAGCGCGGGGCACGTCTCCGGCTTGGAGACATCGTTGGAACCTGAGCTGCATCTTCTTCGATGGGCATTGCAGAAATGCCGTCAACACGTTACTAGTCACCACAATCCACTGTCAAACGCTGGAGCCTCCCAAACTTTTGACATTAAGTTTTTGACGCTCAGAGCCAGTACATGTAAGCTACTGCTGTCCAGAGGGCAGCAAATGAAAAAGAAGGGGCTACAAGATTCTGCCAAGGAGGATCCGACGTCTGAAATTAACTCTGTTGCACAGGGCCTGCGGCCAAAGGACAAGACAACTTAGGCTGGCAAAATAATATTCCCTCATTTTCCAACGATCAATCCGAAACTATTACTATTACTGGTAACTCTTACTCCTACTCTGACTCTTACTATTTCTATTACCATTATCACCAACAGGCTGGCTCCTTGCTAGCCGCGGGACAGTGCGGATCACAGCTGTTCCAGCAGTCATCGTAGGTGCAACCACAGGAGACCAGGCCTGTCAATGCTCAGCCATTCTAGCAACTTCCTTTCAATTGCTGATTTCGCTCACAGTTGTGCAGCTTGTGATGGGAGAGTTGAAGGGCGAGCAAATAGGATGCCTGCTGTATGAAAACCCAAAACGTCCGAAGCCCATGCGAAGCCTCCCCATGAGCGATCGTAGATGAAGGGAGTGCTGCCACCTTGGCTCAATTGAAGACACGTCCCCGGAGAACGTCCTGAAACTAGCAGTACGAAGTTTAGGTTTAAGCTGAGGAGAAAGACACACTACCACAAGACAAAATGGTGGAAACTATAACAAACACAATGGAAGTAAAGGTGGATGCGACTACGTTCCTCCATGAATGGAAAGGATCATTCATCACGTTTGGTGCTACATCTACATAATGTTAAGACCTGAATGAACCCAGCTCCCATGCAATTTTCCATGTGAGCCATTGTCTAAACTCCTGGTATCCCCCTTAATGCCCCCTATACTACTACCCTATATAACCCCCTATATAGATGCCTTTTAAGGAGTTTAGACTATAGCTCATGTGATTTCCCTTTATCCTAAACCCTAAACCCTGGAACCTAATTTGTCCTAGTTATTGCTCAGTGTCCGGCTCTTTGTGAGCCATGCCTCGCAGGTTGTCTGCAGGTCGTCCAGCATCCGCTTCACAAACGCCTTCATTTTTTTTATTGTAGACCCGTGATTAATAAACCCTCTACCCTAAATAGGGATTATAGGAGGGATCCTAATATTAACGCCCTTAAAAGGAAGGGGTTTATTAATCACGGGTCTACATTAAGATGTCAATCTTTGACAATAGTAAGGGCCGGATCGTTTGAAGGGTACGCCGGAGGGACACTTACCGAGCCACAGACTCTGTATCAGTTTAAGACGCCCTGCGCTGTCACAGCGCTGCTTGTATCTTCAGGTTGGGGTGGTTCCCTTTGTGGCCTCGTCCGACTTCCCAAGCTCTGCCGCAATGGCGACTAGCCGCGCCTGGGCTAGGAGGAATTGTTCGCGGGCTAGAAAAGGCTTTAGAGGAGAATGTAGGGACGGCTTGGAACTCGGCTTTGCGTGCGTTTTGCGCGAGGACTTGAGGCTGTCCAATTGCGAAGGATCCTATCCAGATTATCATGCTCCCTGAGTCAACAGTGTGCCACTTCCGCTGGATGCGGAGCACAATGGCTGATTGAGCCCGAAGAAATTAAAGCATTTCTGTGCAAAACGCCTTGCAGGGCATCCCCTGAGCATCAGGGCCATGCGGGCAGTGAGCTTGCCGCTGAAGTAGGTATCTCCGACCTTCAGCAGATGATAATAGATTCGATTGGGTCCCTGTCGCATGTTCATGTCTGAGAACAGCCAAGGGGACTAAACTTGACCAGACAATACCGTATTGCTTTACAATCTCTATGGCCTGCTGGTTAACCGAAAGCTGGTGCAAACTGGATAATTTGCTGTGCCTGTGACTAGTTAGTTCTCTAAACAGCTCTCTCTTACATAATAACTGAATGCTGGTTACACACGTGTCTCGAAGCCCCTGAAAAAAACCCAGCCGAACCCGATGTCTGCCGCAGCGCTGGAGCTCCTGGCTCCAAGTTTGACATTCTGCGGAAGCTCAAACTCGCCTGAGCGAGCCACGACGAGGCTTAGACATCAATTCTGCGTTCAAAAACGTGCATTCAATCAAAAAATCGAGTAGATAGGTTGCAAGTTAAGGTGGGGCTTGGTCAGGAATCTGAAGGACATGAATTCAAGCGCTCTCACTAGTTGCAACAAGTAACGAACAGCAGAAGCGCTTCCCCGACGTCCATTTCATCTTTCCACTGCACTTTATTCAAATAGAGCAAACCTATACCATCTTGGGACAGCAGGGAAGGAGCGCTCCAAGCTCTGCAAGTCTTAGCTCGCTGCTGTCTGGCTTCTCGCCATCAAACTTGGACCCAGCCATGCGCCTAGTGCACCATGAGATCTTGCTTGTGAAGGTGCAGGGCCGGCGTGAAAAGTCCTATCAGTTCTAGTCGTTTCTGGAAACGATATCATTAAGTTTTATTCCTCACCATTTTGCAGAAGAAAGGTCTTGAAAAACGTGATGGCAACCCTATCGTGATTGCTTCCATTTCGTTGTCGAGTAAATCCTGTAGGGCCGCCAATACTAGTGTTTTTACAGCGTAGCTTGAAACAAGCCCTTCTGAGAAAGTTCCTTATGCAGAGGATGCCATCGTCCCCTTAATCCATTTTGCGGTTTGAACCTGACCCTGCAAGGGCGCAAGATGCCACGAGACAAGACGTGCTGAGGTAGCGGCTGACCGCTTCCCGTCAGTGCCTGGTAAGAGCACATCTCTCTGAGCCAGATTTCTGCCAGTTGCCAATCGGCAGAGCGCTTCTACGCCCTGTGTAGTTGCGCCTCTTCCAGGGCCTCTCGTAGAGTGCCGCTGGACGGCAGGGGGTGACGCCTGCAGGCAGAAAGACGGCAACGACTGCCACTCCCAGAAAGTAGAAGAATCACTTCCTCTGTGTAAATCTACTACTTGGAACTGCGTCAGGCCGAAGTGAGTACAGCTTCCTCTTTGGCAAAACCATGCCCTGCACAGAACTGAAGCACCAAAACGTAAGTGGACAGGGCACTCGACAGTAATCCTTCTGAGGCGATACAAAGCTTGGAGGCTCACCCGCCGAACTCTGCCATCGGATTCATGGGGTAGAACCGGTAGCTGAGACTCACTGGCTTAGTGACAACCTGGGCGCATGCTCCCCAAGGACTTGGAGCCAATCCCCTTTGGATTGTGGGAGTCCCGCTGCGATTCATCCTACATTTCTTGCAATGCAGCCTGTAGCAAACACACCCACGAACGCTTTCTACAAGTCTGAGATGCAGCGTAACCTCGCAACTTTAACTAATTGCCAACAGCAGCCCCTTGCACCAATACCTGGGGCCTGGACCAGCGGCTTTGCCAATCCACCTCACCAACCACCAAAGCGCTTCGGGCGGGATACGTGTATTATCCCTCGTTTCGTCTCCTCTAGACACAGCTAGATCCTATTGAAACCCTGGCTTCCATGTTCTTTTGCACTCCTTCGTTCCCTGCCCTAAACCCTAACACCCTAAATAGTGTAGTAATTTCACTTGTCTTTTCCATTATCCCTATATAACCCCAATATACTATAGTAGTTTCCATTTTATTTTCCATTATCCTAATATGTCCCCAGTATATATCCCCTATGTAATCCTCATATAATATAGTAGTTTCCATTTTATTCTCCATTATCCCAATATAACTCTAAACCCTAAACCCTAAATTGTAGTTTCCATTTCATTTCCATTATCCCAACATAACCCCTACATAACCCCTAAACTATGAAACCATAATGTAGTAGTTTCCATTTTCTTTTCCATTATCCCTATATAACCCCCATATTCAGATCGTCAGCTCCCTTCACTGGCCAAGTTGCGGAGGTCCCGGAAAGGTGTTTCCGGGGCAGAAGCCAACGCAGCTCGAACCTGGTTCAATAGCAATAGCAATAGTAATGATAGCAATAATCAAAATAATAGTAATAGTAATAGTAGTAATAATGTTAGTAATGGTAATACCAATAGCAATAGTAATACTAATAGTAAGAGAAATAGTAAACTGCGCGTGGCTTGCGTTGGACAGCCACTCCGGTTTAAGGACTAGTCTTATGGCCACTACAATGACCCTAGTACCAGTCAGTCAAATAGAAGCATTCGTCACTGTGGAGTCTCCCGAGGGGACAGATGCCTCCGGGCGATTCTTACTATTACAATTATATTACTACTATTTCCATTATTATTACTGCTATTATTCTTATTATTGTTAGTATTACCGCATCCCAACACTGGTTCTGCCTCCTCCTTCAAGAGTGGCACATGCACGGGCCACAGCAACTGCAGCACGGCTTCCTCCACCAGAGGTGTGGGTTCCAGGGAACCACAGGGCATGACTTGGAATAACAGTAGCGCTTCATTGGCATCGGATTGGATTGAAAACTCTGTTGCTACTGCCTGCCTACGTATCACAGCTTCAATTTCATTGTTCCGGTTGCTTTTCCGCATGATACTCATTGGCGGGGGTACTATTCCTAAACCCTACGTAAACGCTAAGCCGCTAAACCTGAAATCGTAGCTTTAATTTTCTTTTCCCTTCCCCCTACATATCCGTTTACATCTATGTATCTCTATTTGACCCCTATATATCTCAAAAATTAATCCAGTGTAACCCAGGCTTCACTTTACAAGGTCGGACTTTTTGGCTGCGAGCAATGCGAGGCTGTTTCTAACCTCAGCATTAACAGCGCTTGCAAAGGGAGGGTATAGGGGATGTATAGGGCCCTTTCAAGAGGTTGCATAGGGATATCGTACACTTATGTAGGGTATGTTGGTGTTGTATAGGGAGAATGGAAAATGGAAACCACTATATTAGAGGAAATATTCTACTACATCAGCACGCATTCATATAATAAGATATACGTATCTATATACAGCATTGCTTATGTAGCTATTAATATATATATATATATGAGTAAATATGATGTGGGCTTATCCGAGGACGTCGTAAGATCCTGAAAGGAGCAGAATGAGATCGTGAACGAAGGTCATCCTTGAGGTGGACCCCCCCACCCACTAATAGTGACTAATTATAAGGGAGAAGATTGATTAAATTAGGGTCCGCTTATACTCCCAATATACCACTATTACAGGGTGGGGGGTCCACCTAAGTCATCCTGCATAAAGGATCTCTACGGCGAGACAGTGCGCGCTCTGCTCTGAAACCGAAAGATCGCCACAAAAATGGGACACCTCAACTTACATAGAACCCAACAGGGCCAAGAGGCCAGATGTTGGGATCTTGCATTTTGAGTCACCCCACTCCTCAGTTTCTTGGTGCTGGCCGATGCAGCTGCAGCAGAACTTAAAACAGTGCGAGGTCAGCTCTCATCAGCCCGTAACTAGGAGTTTCCCAAAATTAGGGGTACCTTTACAGAGGGCTATATAGGGGGTTATACGGGGACAATGGAAAAGAAAATGGAAACTACCATTTTGGGTTTTGGGTTTAGGGTTTCCCAAAATTAGGGGTACATTTTTGGGGATCCCCATAACAAGGATTATACTCTATTGGGGTCTACATTGGGGTCCCCTATTTTGGGAAACTACCAGCTGCTGTCGTCGGGGTAGATCTCATTGATCGCGCGCCCGCCGACCCTCCCCAACGACTTCAGTGTCTGTAACACCCCAGCGCAAAGCTTTGCCTGGCAAACAGTACAAAAAAAAAGCCAAGTCTCTGCAAACTTGGGATACCCTGTTATATTTCCCTTTAGCGCGACATATTTCATGGCACTCCACCTTGATATCCCGCCTTTCTAGGAACACTTGACAGCAAATTTCCCACCAAGAATATCGGCTTCCATGTTTTTTTTGAGGTGAGGGTTACTGTTCAATCCAGACTCTGTAAGGCCGATCTCCTTCGTGAGGGCATCGAAGAAAGCCATGTCTGGCTTCGCGTAATTCTTGTAAAGGCCTTGGGAACAAGACCCTGGAGCTTTGCCAGGCTTCTTCTCAAACACACACACATGGCAATATCTCATAATACCATGCTGTCATACATGTTGTAGTTTCCATAAATAAGGGGACCCCAATATAGACCCCAAAAATGATATCAAAAAGACATCCCTTTCCTAGAGGCAAGGTGATCTAGTCAAAACTCCTCGTATCCCCTTAATAACCCCTATAATTCTCCCCTATATAATCCCCAATATGACCCCCTTAAGGAGTTCAGACTCGAGTTCAGGTGGTGGACGATCGTTTTAGAAAAGTTTAAGATGAATTTGTTGCAGAGTTGCTGATATCCCAGGCTTCACATTCAACCCCTTATGGAACCTATTTGGAGGCTTCCAAAAACAGGGATACCTTTTTGGGGGTCCCCATAATAAGGACTGTAGTATTTTGGGTCTATATTGGCGTTCCCCTATTTTGGGAAACTACCATGTAGGTACTGCCATAGTCTTGACATTCTTCGAACAAAAATCGAAACCAGGCGATTCCCATCCTAAAAGAGCTCCTGAGTTTGAGAATGATTTGCCAAAATCCTGGCCAAGCAGCTATCGAATTCGGTTGTCATTGGCTTGCCGAAGGCGAAGCAGTGATCCCTCCACACATCCGCCCTTGGATGAAGGGTTGTCAAAAGTAAGTATGGTCGGTCTTGGGGGGTCCCCAAACCCTAAAACCCTAAAACCCTGAGACCCTAAACCCTGAACCCAGCTGTATCATAATTGGGGCCCAACAAGGGACCATGCTTTGGACAACCTGCCAGGTCTACTGAGTTGCTGTTAACGAACTTGATTTAGGTTATTACATTGGGGAAACCCTATTATTTACCATATATACCCTTTCTGGTAACCCTAAACCTTGCGTCTAAACCCTAAAACCTATATACCCATTAGGGTAACTTAATTTAAAAACCTTTAACAGCAACCCAGGTCTAAGCCACACTCCCGGGCCAGGTCTGGGCACTCAGAGGTTCAGAGACCTGGCCACGTCTCAGCCTCTTTTTTGACACTTTGCTTTAGAGGGGTCCCTTCAAAGGGGTTGTATAGGGGTATATAGGCGTCTTTTTAAAGGGCTTCAGGGTTTAGAGTTGAGGGGTTCAGGATTTAGAGTTTAGAGTTTAGGGGTTTTCCCAAGGATAGTACTGCAATAATGGAGAATGAGATGGAAAAGAAAATGGAAAATTACATGGAAATTGGGTTTATGTAGGGATCCCTTTTTTGACACCTTGTTTTTAGCGGGTGGAAAATCGAAAGTACCATAGTATATGAGGGTATAATAGTGGGTTATATCGGGATAATGGAAACGAAAATGCAAACTACCACATTGGAATCAAAGACAAAATGGGCGTCAACTTTCCTGTCAACCTTCTGGACATTTGAAGGCTGAAGCATGCAGCTATCGTCTCTGTAGCGGGCTCTACATATCTTTGAGGTCCCTGAAGTTGCCCTTCTTTGAGGAACCGGCATGTGGTCGAGTCCTACAATGTTCCAGTGCGGGCTGGATTTTCCATGCCCGACATGTACAGGTGACTAGAATAGAATTCGTTGCTACCGTAGTGGGTTCTACACTTTTGAATAGCCGTGAGTCCAAGAATAGTCCAACTATGTCCACCTATCTCAAGCTCCAGGTCGGGCCTCTAGGTCTTGAGGTGACCCCATTTCAGCTCATAAACGATTGAACAGCTGGAACCAGTTTATCTAAGAATCAAGAATCAAGACGTGGCTTCAACCTTCATTCCTAGCAGCGATGCTACCTGCTGCCTTACACGATGAAGGCCAAAGCTTCGCGAAGATTTTGCGAAGGTTCTCGTCCTCGCGCACCCAATTCATGCGCTCTTCTTCAGCCTCGTGGGCAACCCATTCTTGCGCCACAATTTCGAAGGCGTTCCTCACATGAAGCAAGAGTTGTGAAACTGTCCCAAAGTCTAACGGTAGTTTCCATAAATACGAGGACCCTTATGTTGACCCCAATATATTACAATTCCATATCATGGGGAACCCTTGAGGGCTGATGAAACCCCTAAACCCTAAACCCTGAACCCCAACATACTCCAATTCTGAGGCCAGCGGCGCCCCCGAAATGGACTTTGACCTCCACTCATCCACAGTCTTCATGATCTGGTCCCTCTCGAAGTCTCTCCTCAAGCTGAGGATTTAGGGTTTAGGGAATATACCCAAACTATATATGAACCATAGTCTAAACTCCAGGTATCCCCCTTAATAATTGACTCCTATAATTCTCCCCTATATAATCCCCCGTATAACCCCCTTTAAGGACCTCAGAATATGGTTCATAAGTATATCTGTATAGAGAAAGGCCAGAATGGAAAATCAAATGGAAACTGGGAAGCCTCCTGGCGCTTTAGCAAAAAGGGCTACTTCCCAAATCAGAACCTGGTAGACTTTGAATGTGTAGGTATTTAGGATGCCAGGTACGACTAGTGACTAGGATTGATCTGCACAGTTTTGGACAAGCACGGGCATTGTGCAGTACTCGTGATCTTTCCCAACAACCAACGCATTGTTGACCTAGACTTTCAAGCGAGTAAGGTAGCAAAACACTGCCAAATGTCGGCGCACTGTCCAGGATCTCCTTGAGAACATTCTTGAAGGCATCCAGGCCTTCCGGGCAGCTGCGGCTGCAAACTCACTTTCGGGAGAAGATTGGGGGGTTAGCGAGTCCTTCTAGTGTGTATGTTTATTGCTGGAGTTTCTTGGTCTATGCGATGACGAAATTTTGAGTTCCCTGATGCTGCCCCGCCTGCTTGCACATCCGGCTTCTCCGGCTTCTTCAGCAGGGCTGTGCAGCCAAAGAGCTCCAAGCATTTGTGCCTTGGGGTCTGTCAGGCATGGTTCTGAAGAGTTCGCCAGACAGGTCACTTTACCAAACTTGCTGCTGTGCTGCTTTGCTTCATCCCACGATTTGGTCGGCTTCTCATCCTTGTACTGGTATGACTTGCCTGCATGAGGCAACAGCGCTCGGATGAAAGGGCTCAACAACCTGAAGCAAACCTACCAGTTTCCAAACCTGGCCTAGGGAAAGGGCCCAGGTGCCCCAGCCCTCATTCTCATGCTTGGCTTCACAGAGGTCGTTGTGAAGCATGAGCTCATCCATGACTTTGTGGCAGGCGTGGCCCAGGTCCATCTTGCTTCCATGGTGTTTGTTCTCTGGGCAAATGATGCCCTTCTCCTCATCACGTATCAGGTGCAGGTGGACCCCCTTCAAGGCATTGCACATGTTGCGCTGGGCATCGCCGCCCTCCGAGAAGGTGGCCTCTGTGCGCAGCTTGCCATCTGTCATGACCTCCATCTTGCACTCGCGGGTCTTCTCCAGCACAAGGCACATGCCGACGGCATGCTGATTACAGTTGCCCCGTCGGAAGTACTGGTCTGTGTCAGCATTTCCTGCAGGGGCCAGCAACTTGGTTGACACTGGCTCTGCATGACATGTTCTGGTGGCACGAACCTGACAGCGGGCTGGCTAAAGGGCCGAGATAGGCCGAGAGCAACCCTGGGTCATGCTGTGTTGTCCCGCCTCCTCCAGTAACAATGCGATTCAACACCTGCATCTGCTTCTTGAGGCATGTGCCGTAGCACTGCTTCACAACGTTCCCCTGCTTCCCGATGATCTCTTCTATAGTTGCCGAGTTCGTCCTGAGCAAGCAGGCAGGTTTGCTGCATCAAGCTCTAAACACGCTGGACGCCAAACAAATCGACAAGTACACGCTGCCCTCGAAGAGTCCCCAACAGCCGAGCATCAGGACAGACAGCGCCAAAGGGGGAACAGCATCCACAGTGATCCCGCCCGACAATCTTGCAGAGCACCTGAGGTCCCGGATTAAAATCAACTCAGCTTTCCCACTTGCATCTACCCATCGGGCAAGCCCTTACCCCCAAGACCCTTACCCTAAACTCTAAACCCCAGTACTCGTCCAGCGGCTTGATGCAGTCCATCCCCAGGATCTCAGCATCGCTGAAGAGGTGGTGCAAGTTGGGCTCCAGCTCTGGATCCTGAGCCACAACATGCTCTACAGGCGTATGGGAGGGCTGAGAGACTTCTCAAAATCGGCCAACACGCGAACACAAAGACTGGGCTTCGGGGTTTTGGCCGCGTTCTGCAACTCAAAGTTCGGTGCTGTTGAGTTGAGGATAAAAGTTGCCAGGCCAATGACGATATGAAACGTCTTCTGTCGTAAAAATTCCTACACATGGAATTTCTCAAAATTATGACTCCAATTGATGGAAACTTGGCATGCGTTATGCAATTCAGGGAGGAAACTTCGAACGTAAGGGGATCGTACTGCTGCAAATCTTCTGCAACCAAAATTCCGGCGTGGCCACGGCCTTCGTGTCACCTCCAAAGTAGTTCTTGAAGGTGTCAATCATCCAGTTCACCAGCGCCGCCTTTTCTCAAAAAGACCTACGTGAAATGCTACAAGCTCTTGTAGGTTAATGATGCTTCATGTAGCTCTTACTGCACCTGAGCTACTGCGCTACTGCTACTGCTGCTGGTGCTGCTACTGCTGCTGCGGCTGCTGCTGCTACTACTACTACTACTACTACTACTACTGCTACTGAGTCACTACGCACTGCTACTACCAATTTTGTCTGTGGTGGCCAAAAGCATGACAATCATCTCACAAACTCGCAACCCCAGTTTGTGATCATAGCGACCATGGCAGCGACTGCTTTCCAAATCAGCTGGCGCAGGGGTTCCACGATCACCAGGAGCTCCTTGCCAAGTAGCCATTTTCTTTTCCACTATCCCTGTATAACACAATATATTAGGCTTATATAGGGATAACGGAAAATAAAATGGAAGCTACTATTTATCTAGGGGTGGACAGAGGGCACCTCAGTGATTCGAAGCCTAAGGCAACACTGGGGGATCCTTTTCGAATAGGACGCTTGCCTGTAAGACGCGGGGCCACATGCGTGCCCATGCGAAAGTTTCTCAGCATACTTCCTATGTAGTGGTCCCTGGCAGAGATCGCCAGAATCTTCTCCAATTTCCTATATGCCTACTTTGAGAAACCCCACGTTTCATGTTTCCATCTGAGCACCAAGAAGCCCTGCGGCTCCTTAGTGCACTGGTAGAGCGGGCCGCAGCCGAATAGGATGGTTGGCCAGGCCCAGGGAATTGGGAACGCCTTCCTTGGGTAAGGCGTTCAAGCACTGTACCAAGTCTGATGTGATTGCTTCTAGGACCTTGGGGGAAATTAAAGGAAGTTGTCACATAAGAATCACTGCAGGAAGATGCCATGTTAGAGGAATCTGCAAATGAACCAAGCTGAACAATTCCAGATAATCAGAGGGGCACGGCGATAGTCCACACTAGACGCTTCGTCACGAAGGTGTACAGGGCCTTCCCAGCATTGCTGACCTGAGCTGGTCAGCAGCCTCATCATCCTTATGCAGGCCATGGGCCAAGATCCATGGATCTGCTAGGTTTAGGGTGTAGCGGTTAGGGCTCAGGGCGAAACTGCACAGGATTGGCTTCTAATTAGCCATTCTAGCAAGCAGCTCCAGACATGAGGGACGTGTATTACAATCTCCTGTTAAACTTCAATCGACACTGACTACCCGACTCGCTGAAACTTCTTTTTGCTTGGCGACTCCTTCTGTGAGCGTTTCTTTCCTTAGATCGCAGACTTAACGGATCGAAGACGAACGGTCGCTGCTGCCCCAATTGACATTAGCCACACTTGCTAGTTTCGCCGAAGCGCACACTGAGTAATCTGACACGGCGATCAGCATGACGCAAGAAGTCAGCATGAATCGTGCTTGAGAAGGAGAAGGCCACGAAAGTGACGGAAATCAGCAAGGAGTGGGTGATGTGAAGTTGAGCCGGCTCAATGGCAGTAGCAGCACGTGGCGTCGACTCTTTCAGGACAAGAGGGTCAAGATTGTGGGGTTTAAAAATTAGGGTCTAAGGCTATGGCAAAGGATTAGTGTTGAGGTCCCTGCGGGCGCTGAGATAAACTTCTCTGCTCCGGTTGCAAGTTGTTGCTTGTTGCTGCACAGGAGCATACCTGAGTTTGGTGCTTGAACTGCCGAGGCCGGGACAATCCCGTTTTGCTAGTATTGATCAATTATGATTCATTATTTTTCAAAGGAGAGGTAGGGGGCCCCCCGTGATTTCAAGGGCGGAACAAGCCTTTTGACCCACAAAAAGACTTGTAAAAAGCGACAATTACCGCGAGCCCCAAAAGAGCTAGCTTTCACGATCAGTCTCAGCACACAATGAGGCAAGGCTCAATGTCTTTTCGATTTTGTCCACCACGTCCACACCCACGCTGTCTGTTGTCTCCTTCTTCCTCAGCAGGGCTTGGTGGAACGCTGCAACAGGATGCACGACAATCGAAGGAGATGCTGCGAATGGTTGCATCCTCGCTTTCCAAGTCAAGTCTGGTCCTAGTATCGTGTGGGCGAAACTGAATTTGCGTAGCAGGGAACGAGAAAGACATGGCTTTTCCTGGCACCACCCATCGTCAGAGGTGAGTCTTGAATCGTGCGGCACGATGTGTCTCAAACAAGGTCCCCTGATTTCCCCAAGATAAACCATGGAAGCTGTGGATCCTTACTTCACAGACACAGAAAAACTGAGTCGTCAAGACAATCCAATATCAAGCATGGTAATAAAAGCAGCCCAACATTGTCATCTGAAATGTGCATGGTCTTCCGTGCAGCTGCGGGGCGCAAGGACCGCCTTCAACTCATCGCGGTCTAAGCCAGACCCGACCTGTCTTTTTGATCATCTACAATCCCTGCTCCAGTGGACCAGAAAACAAAGCTTCAAGCTACTTGGGGTCCTGAAGTAGCTTATTTGCTGAACTGGAGGTCGAAATTGCCTGCTGTGGTAATCTCAAACCAGCAGCCCAAGCCTCCCCCCGAAGGAACAGAATCCAGGCTGCTCTCATTTAGCCTTCCTGTCACAAGCCCTTCCAATATAGGAACGCAAGAGACCTGGGTGTTTCTCAAGAAGACGGACCCTACGTAGCCCAAGGCTGTATAGGGATTATTCTGTAATGATTTTATAAGCATCCTGTGGAGGATTACTTTCAGAAATACCCGCCTGAAACAGCGGAAGTGGAAGACTCGGCATCTTGGATCGTTTACCCGAAGGACACGTGTAGACATCCATGTTTAGGATTGTTTAGCTCCAGCTGAGACTCCCTGCCTCCTCTTCGACTCTAAGAGTTTCTAGTTCAATCACCATCATGGATATCATAAGGATCATCGCAGCAGCGCATTTCGAAAGAATGACTTCAGTGCAGAGCCCACGCCTGGGTGAGGCACTCCTCTGGGTCGTTGATCTCAAACTCCGTGCCGTTTGCACGTGAAGATCTTCCTGAAACCATGACATCGTGACATCCGCTGACCAGCAAGTCACCGCATGTGAAATCCATACCGCACTGCAAGTACTTTGAGTGGAAAGCTGCTCCAGAACTCAGATATTGGATCTATTGCGCCTGCACCTCGGCTGTGTTTCTCCTGTGCAAAGGAATTCCCATGGCCTGGCCGGATTGAGCAAAGACCCACGAGTTGCTCCAAGCAGACCGGGAGGGTAAGTACTAGTCTTTCTGTTATGAACATCCGGTGGACAAGCATCTTGAATAGGCCACCCCGGCTCTACCATCTCCCCAAGACTTGTCTCACCCTTGCTCTGGCGCGTGAAGCTGGGGGTCACGGCTCCTGTTCTGCTGCAACGTGTGCCTGGACCAAGGAGGCCCTCCGACCACACTGTTTCCTGTTGCAACCTTGTCTTCTCTGCTAGCAGGCGAACATCCTGCATAGTGCTATGTCATGCTATGTCAACACTGCCCAGCTCCTGGTTCCTGCGCAGTCTGCATGCGATGCACTTCACCACCCCTGTGTCTTTGCACAACTGTGTTACGTCCTTTGCTGGTAGGCTTCATACAAGCTCCCCACGCATCACAGCCATGCAGCCGGGGTATAACATTTTCAAAGTCCTGTTAGCACAAGGTCAAGTCAATCGGCTCACGCAGCTCTTGTCAGCAACGCTTTTTGGTTGAAAACCACGGTTGCAAGACATATCATTACGCAGAAATGATTGAGGAATGCGAGGACATTTCAGAAATTGTGGCGGTCAAGGGTAGGAAGGATCTTCGTAATTTGAAGGTTTTAGAATAGACCCTGTCTTGGAAGGCATAGCGAATACTACAGCAATTCGGCAAGTTGATTTTTGCACCTGCATGGATCACAAAAATAAATGGCGGAGCCAGTACTACCAGAGATGTCAGACGAAAGTACGTTCATGCTCACCGTGCAGCCCGCGCAGCATAACTGAGAATCTGAGCAACTATTGGCTGAATACAACATGACACAATGTCTGCTGCAGAAGGCAGAGGCAACAAATCTGGCGCTTCGGAATGGGCCGTGGGCGGAGTTCAGACGGTCAGCTTCGGGACCGGCCTCCAACGTAGCTGAGGTGCAAGACCTTGGCCTCAGCTCAGTACTACTGGCTTCAGGACTGGCTTCCTGCAAAGGAATCTAGGCAACCATCTGAATATTTCGCAAACTCATAGAAGCTTCTTTTAAACACGAGCTTAAGAATTGTCTTCCAATGGCCATCAACCAATCGGTCCTGCACCACCAAGTGGCTACAGCCCGCTGGATGGTCACATGCTGCCGCTTCAACTCCTTGCGCTTCTGGGCGGTCAGCAGACCGTAGCCTGGGATCTGCATGGGACTCTGCAAGAGCAGGGAAGGTCGAAACTTGGGTCGTCAGCTCTCTTTCGTAGCAAAGGGGCGCACTGTTCTGTCAATCGATTCCTCATGAGTGAGGTTGGCCTCGTCGTCAAGTTGCCTGGGTCTCAACGAAGGCAAATAGCTGGTTAGGGGTGGTCTTGAAGTATTCTTGCTGTAAAAAAACACGTTGAGGCCATAGGCAGCGGATCAACTTGAATGAGAAGTCAGACTTAGAAGGATGCAGCTCTTTCTTTTCAAGTCCAGAGGGGCAAGACCCATTGCACTGACCCCTTTGCGCACGTTCTGACAGTCCAAGGCCAACCACGGCCCTCAAACATCTCTAATGGCCCGTTTCGAAACGTAGAAAATGTAACATGCATATCCGCCATGGTCTGCACAGGAAAACACAGGCGACGGCGCTGATCTGACACAGCTTGAACGAAGTTTTTAGTGGGTTGATTGAGTGGGCTGAGTTCACCATGAATTTCGTGAACTGCCGCCGTGCAACAGCGCCGAGCCCGGCTGCACATCGTGGAGGCCGTTCGGGAAGCCTGCCTGGCAAAGAGCCAATTTTAATCCCCCTTAAGGGGGACTATGGGTTGAGGTTTAGGGTTTGACAGAATATGGCTTTGGGTATATCATAATAATATCCCCATATACCCCATATTCTATCTACTTAAGCCGGGACTATACACCAACTGCCAAGGCCTGGACCTCCTCATTTGGCTTCCTAACGTACTTTCCACCAAGATGACACGACCCGTTGTCTAAACTCCTGGCATCCCCCTCAATAACCACTATAATACTCCTATATAACCCCTCATATAATCCCCTTTATGGAGTTGAGATTATGGCTCACGTAAGCTCAACCCTTCTGACGCCTTTAGCCGCTGCTCGTGCAGCATGTTGGCCGCAAGGTTCTCTGCTACGGACCTCCTGGGAAGGGGTTTAGGCTTCAGGGTTTAGGGTTTAGGGCATCAAGGTCTTCAAGGTCATAGCTGATACTCGCGACTAAGGCTTCAGGGCATACAGGGCCCTTGGGGCTGAAGAGGGCTGGGAGTTCTGATCACTGAAGCAGCATTTGCAAAGTGCTTGGCAATGTCTCTTTTCAGCTGCCATGTTCGAAACCAAAGCCCCTTATAGCAGTCCCTATAACACCCATTATAGCAGTTTCTATTTTCATTTCCATTCCTTCATTCCCAGCTAACCGAATACAACAAGGCTCCACACCGGAGACTCGAAGTCGCTGATGAGCTCCGCCATCTCCGAGAATCGCAGTTCCTATAAGTTGGGGGCTTCCCAAAAAAATATAGGTACCATTTGCGGCTCCCCATAATAAGGAATACAATATTTTGGGTCTAAAGTGGGGTCCCCTATTTTTTGGAGACCGCCAATTTGGACTTCTGCGCACTTTGCTGAGACGTGCTGCTGAGACGTGCCAGGGACATCAGGGGGCATAATCAAATAGCTTCAGGTCAGGAAGAGCCATACTTCGATCCCGAGCGCTTAAACATCTCAACCCTACATCCTGTATGACCTGAAGACTTTCTGGCGGTCACCAATGCGGACTAGGAGGCGGAGAAGGCGTGGGCCGTGGCCTCCTCATGGGAGGAAGACTGAACAGTTTCGAGCAGCTGCTGGTGGTGCCTTAGGTGGGATGTGTCCTTCGGAGAACCGCTACACTTACAGTACGTACGCTACAGTCAAACAGACGTGCATGAAATGAGCACTCCAGGACAACCACGCATGAATCCCTCTACCTCAAGAACCTACGTACAGTGTAAGATAAGGACACTGAACCAGGAAAAGATGAGAAAAGGGGATGCCCATCAATTCCATCCTTCTACACCGTCAATCTGTTCCGCGCAACAAGCAAGACAAAACCTGACAGACAAATTCTGAACTACTGCCGGTGCCTCGCCATGAAACATGACGTACAAGGCACGCAGGAAGTCCCAGGCAGTACACAAGCATCATGCAACCCTTGTAGATGCATTGTGTTGGAATGGTCTGGCAATTAAAAGACAAGGCAAGAATCGACGTCGACATGATGTAGCAGCTACGCACATCCTAAAGGATTTCCTCACGACAAGGAGCCGGATCGCATGGCCGACCTCCGTGTCTAGATCCAGGTCTAGGGCCACATCTTCCCTGAGCAGAGAATTTAGGCTTAGGGTTAGGCTTTAGTGTTTGGGGTTTGGGGTGTAGGTAGTTGTTCCGGGGGGGGATAATAGAGCAGCTTATGGCTCTTGAGGCTGGGACTTTGGGGTTCCTGGCCTGGCACTTTGGGCTTTGGGCTCAAGGCTTTGGGATGTTTAGGGTTTCGGGTTCAAGGCTTCGCTTCAGTCTCTCTGCGCTGTACTGGGAAGTAATGGCATAGCGTCGCCGGGATTGAATTGATGCTATGAAGTTCATGGTATAACTGCTTGCACTATTGTCAGAGTCTCGTTCGACTTTGACACATTTGACATTGCCACTGTTTCTTCACCCAGCCTGTAGCTGCTTGCAACTGCCGCCATGGACGACAGCAGCCACATGGTTGCCATGCGGCAGTGAAAATTGAAGTTTCCAAACAAACTTGGACGAAAACCCAACGCAGGGTTGCCACTCCGTCCGCTGGTGGAAGATCCGTTTGGGAAGCTTCCCTACTTGAGCCGCAAGATTTTGCGCCAAGTACTCGATTGCGCTTTCTGCAGCTAGCAAGTGTTCAAGCACCACTTCAGACATGTTTCATATTCAGGGATTGATGCCTGGCGCCTACCTGATCTTAGTCTTTCTACAGCCATTATGCCTAAACTGGAGGCCGCAGCCGATGGACACCATGGCCTGCTTGGGATAGCCGGCCACATGTCGCAGGTAGCCGGCCCAGTCAAAGTTGACCTGACAAAGCCGCCGCCAACTCGATTCCCACACCATCCGACTACGCTCAAACGAAATCTCGCAGGATCTGACCGCTGTCGACCCGCCTCTCCGACGTCCGCATTCAGGTCAGCCTGCCCGCGCTTCCATAGTGGGTGCAAAGCCATTACAAATCCAAGCCTCGAGTCTCCACAACATCCACTGCTTGCAAGCAGCTAGACACCAAAATGGTAGTAGTAGAAGCAAATGTCGAGACAAAGCGTACCACGTACGCCTTGCTTCAGTGGTTCAAAGGCCGTGGACAACAGGACTGCGGTGCCTTGAAGTTCATGCCCGAGGCAACCTAGACAAGCTTGTGGTGAGATGCCCCTTCGCTCACTTCGTGGGTATCTTGATCAGGTTGCTCAAAGCTTGGCCCCACGCTACGTTTCGTGCCAAGGCACCATCATACAGCAATTCCTACCTGTGTTTAGCTAGGTATGAAGGAATGGATCCTTATAGTAGTCACTCCATAACCCATTATAATAGATTCCATCTGCTTTTCCATTCCTTCATTCCCAGCTAACCAAGGTAACAATTGCCTGCACAGCCTGAGGCCCGAGCCGGGTACGCACCCGCATGGGCTCGCACGAGCGACGTCCAGCGAGGCACATCACAGCCTGGTTCTGCTCGCCGGGTGCAGCAAAAGTACTAGTGACACTCATAGTCATAATACTACTAATACTAATACTAATACTAATACTAAGACTAATACTCATACTATTATGCATTGAAGTGTAGTAATAGAAATACCAGTAACAGTATTAGGAATCAAGAGTGGAAATTTCGAACGCGATTATTTTTTGCAGGCCTGCCTGGGTTCTTGCCCTTCAGCATGGCGAGCTGGACAGCTGCGCCTGCTTGGCATTGCAAATTCTAATAAACTTCAAGGCACCGTACTTCTAATTCTACAGCTATACTAGCTCATTTTAGGATCTAAGCTGGGGATGGGGGAAGCTCGTACTGTCGATAAAATCCCAACTCAATTCCTCTGATCAGACTGATTGCTTTTGAGGGACCCTGGAGTTAGCTAATCCACTATAACACCTGTAACCCCCCATCCCATAGTTAACCTAGGGTGCAACTTTATCCAATCTTGAAAGCCAATACCCCTTAAACCACCCTAAACCCTAAACCCTCAACCCTAAACCCTTAACCCTAAACCCTAAATCCTAAATCCTAAATCCTAAATCCTAGACCCTAAACCCTAAACCCTAAACCGAAATCCTTAGTAAGCCAGGGTCCACAAAGTCGACATCCCGGCCTTGCTTGGGTGTTTGCTCCGCTGCCTTGAGCCGAAAAGGCCAAGACTGGCAGACCTGAGCTTTGCGTGGAGCTTACTGTTAGGGGTTTAGGGTTTAGGGAATAAGGGAAATATAATCCCTATGTAAGCCCTATAATAAATTCTTCCCTTAGTCCCTACTAAGAAGCAATAAAGGAGAGTTTGGAGTTGATGCTGATGTGGCAGCTTTTCGCACCACAACGCATGCGAAACACCCGTTCTTCAATGCGTGCTCCGCGGCTAAGCCCGAAAGCCTAAAGCTTGACAGCCTGGAGCCCTGAATTGCGAGCTGATGAGCTTCAGATCGCTTTAGTATTGACAACATACTATAGTATACCCCAATGGGAATATTCGACACTAGGGGTGGGGGGTCTAATATTCTTAGCACCTAGAATTAAGGGCAAGCTTGGGCTTTGAGGCTTGTGGAGGCAAAGTTTGCTTGGAGAACTGGAAATGCTAGGGATATGCGGGGGTTGACGGGGGAGTGTAGGGTTCGCTCCTTAAGATTGAATCGGGGCTGCTTCGGGCAATGGTGATATGGTCCTACGTAAACTCCTTCATATCAACATGGATGAAATGCTAAAATCAGTTTCTCTGAGGCGTTGCAGTCAAGACTGAAAGTGCGCAGTTTTGGGGGGAGTCAACAACGAAGCCCCGATACCCCGCACATCGCAAGTCCAAATCAAACTCCCCAGAACACTCTCGAATTGCAATTTAGTGGTCCATGCCCACAACACACGCATACGACGTCTCGCATGAGTTATAATCTAAACTCCAGTATCCCCTTAAGAATCCCTATAATACTCCCCTATATAACCCGTTGAAAGGAGTTTAGACTATAGCTCAAATCAAGTCTGAATCCCTGTGTCTCAGATCCGTGCCCAGCCCATTCCGGGCGGGAAGACGACCAGCCAGACGTCGCCAGTGCTCAGTGTAAACTCTATCTCCTGACTGTTGCGAAATGGAAGGTTCTCAAAAAGCCCCTGAGGATACGGGGATTGTAAGAAGAGTTGGGTCCCTTCTAAGGGCTTGTTTTTCGGTGGTTGAACTGATTGAAATGGTGTTCTCGTTACAAAAAAATGCAACCAAAAGGAGAAGATAACATAATCTTGCTCTATTTTGGGGCCTACAGCCACGGTATCCAGGCTACATATCCTGATACCAATGTAGCGATTTCACACAGATGGGAGGGGCCTAATAGCACTTTACTGAAACTTGGGATCCCTGAGCAATGGGCTTCTTGGGCTGAGGATTGATATCGCGACGTGAGGCCGATGGCAAGGCGGATTCCTTCCCTTCCGACGATTTGCATCAAAGGACCTATAGTGTAGAACGCGCAGCTAGTTTACGCATGAGTATGCTAGGGCCAAACCCCGCATCTAGATACCTGCTTACTCCGCTACACATCTCCGGGCCAAAGTCTAAGAAACTCATCTTTTAGGAGAAACTGACCAATGGTGACATCAAGCTCCCGCCTTGCCCTGTACGAAGTTGCTGCAGTCCACGAGCTTGCCGTCTACTTTCAGCTTCTTGGGTTCCTGGCTTGGATGCACAGGATATCTTCCCTTAGCTGGGGCTAGAAGCTGAAGCTATAAGAGACCGCAGACATGAGCAGCAATGCAACGAAACAAGCAAATAAACCCAACAAGCCCTTTGCAGCAACGCTCCCTATACTCCCACACCATTGATGAAGCTTCTAGACCACATTCTGGTTTACTGAGACGGACTCCGGCTCTAACCTTGGCCAACCTCCGCAAAAATCCCGATTCTGAAATCCAGGGTTTAGGGTTTGGGGTTTATTATATTATGGGTTATATGGGGTAATATTGGGATAATGGAAAATAAAATGGAAACTACTATAATGGGTTATATTACAGAACCCATTCAGGGTTTAAGACTCTCAGAAGAAATGACAATCCAATGAGAAAAACACCTAGATGCTTCACAGCCGTGACATTAGAAGGAGAGAGATTGTTCTGTGTAAGCTAAGCCATGTGAATAGCGTGTGTTTTGGCAGTTGAACCTAGTAAGACTATTTTCTGCATGTAAACTTCCCAAAACGAAGTAAAAATCCTATAGTCCTCAAATGAAACAGTGCTCGATCCCTCATGGAACTTCTTTCCTGAAGAGGCCAAGGACTCTTTGGGCCTTACTCTTGGGGCCCCAGCTGCCAGCATCAGGTCCGAGGATACAATGGGCCGGATACCACGGAACCTAAACGAGTTCCGTGTGAGGCTTGAAGGCGCCAGGTTTACCTGTACCCTCCGTTACCTACAGTTTATCAGCAGGTGTTACCACAAAAAATGCAGGCAATAGTGGTTACAGGCAGGGCTTTAGGCTAGCTAGGCATGGCTTAGGCCATTTTGAGGCTGGCAAAAGTGCATGTGGGGTCCCAAACGGATGGACGGCTTGATTCCATGTAGAACCAAAGAAACCAGATTAGACGGCATTGCATCCCAAAAAAACCCTTCAATCGGCCTGGCTCTTTCTATCCACCCCACAAAACCCTCCTGAACCGCAAACCCAACACCCTGACCCACAAACCCTAAACCCCAAGCCCCCAAAATCCTTCAACCGAACCTTAGGGTTTTGTGGTTTGGGGTTCTGTAGGTTTTCGGGCTTAGGGGTTGCCTTAAGAACCCGTAACCCCAGGACCTGAAACCCTAAGCTCCAACAGGATCCCCCGGAAAGTCCCAAAAGGAGGCCAGCGGCTCTCCGGTGGCAAAGGCCGACCCCCGGCAGACAGGAAAAGTGGCAGCCTGCAGCTGTGGGTCTTAACAGTCTGTACGGCCGGTCATATTAAGGGTTATATTTATATATAATTCTATTACAACTGTTATCCAAGTGTCAATGAGTGGGGGCAGTACCCAAGGCATGGTTCTATGGAGAATTTTTAAAATGTAAATAGAATGGAAACTGCTATGTGGGGTTCTGTAGGGTTTAGGGCTTAGGGTATTGGGATTAGCCCTAG